AAATAAAATATATACAATAATTAAAATACAGTCCATCAAATATAACTACATTAATGAATACATACAATAAAATTAAATGACATGACAAAATGTGTAAGTTCCATCTCTTGAAGCTAAGCAGGGCAGGGTCTGGTTAATGTTGTAATGGGAGACCTCTGGGAACACCCGATGCCACAGTGGGGCGGCTGCGGCTTGAAAGTGCTAAACTGTTGCTGTGCCCTTAGGCAAGACACGTCACCCACATTGCTCTGTACAAGTCTTGTGTGTGTGTGTGTGTGAATGGTTGATGGTGGTGGGAGGGGTCAAGTCAAAAAACCCCTGATCTACAACTGTCACCGATTAGAGCTAAAATGCTGAGATTGTGTGAAGTCTTTGATGAGGCTCAACTGGTCCCAGGTCCAGGAGCCTCTGAGGTGGTCGTGTCCCACCGACCACAGGCTAATGAGGATAATCCACTGGTGCTACGGGTCAAGAGGTGCACATGAGATAAGCCTGAGCAATCATCAGCCCCGGGAGTCACCCAGGGAACGCAGTGTTTGTTTTTCTGTGAGATTCATAACTTCATTACATCCTCGAATAATGATCCATGTCTGCGCTTTTTTTGACTGACTAAAACATTACATTATAACAAAATTTCTTTACGTTTACATTTTATACATTTTATTATTACATTATTATGATTATTATTATTGTTTTTACATTGATGTGGTTTACTTTGTACATTTTCTCCACAAAAATAGCAGTTCAAAGTAGAAATTTTACTTGGTCCTAATAGAAAAGTCCAATCTAAAAGTAAAAATGTTGTGAAAAAGTCAAAAACCAACTCCTGCCATCTTCATCTTGTTATAAACAGCAGATTGATTGAGTGAAGAGGGTCCGATCTTTTTCACTTTTATGTCTGTCTTTTATACTAGTGATAGAAGCAAACAGTCCCATTATTTTTGCAGTTTGAAGATGTGGTACCCCACTTTTAACTCTCCTAAACTAAACTACAGAGATTTTGGAATTTAAGTCTTTCACCTCTATAATGGTAGTGTTAGAGATTTTCTTTCATTTTAGTATAGTTATTGTTTATTTATCTTTTGTTGTAGATCTTTTCATATTTAACTAAAACGTCCTGGGAGCGGGATGACCACCGTCCATAAACATGATAATAACATCTCTGGATCATCACTGCCCTTATACACATTATTTGTTGACAATCAATAGAATTTCTACTTGAGTTTTCGTTGATTAAAATTCTACAAACTTCCCACAGGTTTTAACATTAGGGAGCACATCACCCCTGTCTTAGCGTCCCTCCACTGGCTCCCTGTGCGCTTTAGAATTGATTTTAAGACTGTACTTTTAAAGCGCGTTTAGGTCTGGCACCCAGCTATATTTATGAATTTTAACCCCCTACGAGCCCTTCCCCACAGCCTTAGATCCTCGAACGGGTCCCTGTTGACTGTTCCAAGGTCGAGGCTCCGGATGAAGGGGAACCGAGACTTCTCTGTCCGGGCTCCTCGACTTTGGTACGACCTGTATCCTCTTTTAAATCACTTCTTAAAACCCACTTTTATCGAACAGCTTTAAACTTCTCATGGTGTATTTTACTGTCTGCTTTGTCTTTCTTCTTGCGTTTTCCCTGTTTGATTTGTCTTCCTGTAAATTCTATTCTATCTAATTATTTTGACTTTGTATTATGACTGTTTTATTGTTATTATGCTGACTGTGCAGCGCTTTGTAAACATTGTTTTGGAAAAGTGCTATACAAATAAAGATTTATTGTTATTATTATTACTATTATTATTATTATGCTGCAGCTGTAATCTGGTCCTTCTCAAGTCCTCAACATAGTCCTAAACACGACGCAGGGTCTTAAAAACAGCTTATTGCGTCGCAGCAGCGGGGGGCAGCGTCTCGAGACCAGCCCAGTCTGAAGTCCCCATGTAAAAATACCTCCCAAAAACACTGTTAATTGGACCATACAGCTGCGTCTGTGGTTTTGAAGGGGGGATGGACTACCTAACCGTGACTGCAAATTTTAAATTGGAAGCAGTGAAGAAAAAAAAGCCAATGCTATAACTAACCGCAGTGAGTTAAAAACAGTTTGGTGCGACCGCTGAAGTGTGCCCATGAGACACGCCCAGAGACCCACTGCTGTTTGTGTGAGGCTTAGGACTTAACAGGAGGAGACCAGACCCCATGCTTTAGGCATCAGAGTATAATTATAATACATATTTGGGTTTATATGTTTTATTTTAGTTGTATTTTCAATTTTAATTTTACCATGATTGACTTGTATTTTTAGATGCACTTAAGTGTTAGTGTTTTCTACTTTGCCCAACATTGTTCTTATTAAATCTGTAATTATGTCTCCTGGATACAACTCTGGGGGTGGCAGGTCTCCCCTGGAGGAGACCCCAGGGAAGACTCTTGCTGGGGGGACTACAGCAATGGTCTAAGCATCTGGGATTATTTAGAAATTATAATTATTGTTCAATTCAATGTAATCTTGTATAGCCCTAAATCACAACAGTAGTATCTCAGAGGACCCTACAAAACCATTGAATTCACCAACACAGATCAGAAAATCAGTTTCAAACACAAGAAATAAAACAGAAAACACATTGATATTGGTGAATAAGGGCAGATGACCAATGATGACCAATGCAATGTTAATAATGAAGATGGATACATACCCCCTGGACTATTAAGCACACCAGGTAAATGTTAAAGAGAAAGTAAGTTTTGTCACATTTACGCCGCACCTGAATAAAAGCCAAAGTTTTTCTCATTTTAATCAATAGACCCAGTGCACTAGAAAATTCTAACTTCTAGTACGTTGTGGCATTTATCAGTATTTTCTTTTTATATTTTGCTAAAAGTGACTTAAAGCAGTGTAACTCAGTTTGAAACAATAATAATGAATACACCATGAATTATACAAAACCATTTCATACGGCTTGTTTCTATAATCATGAGTTTGTGCCTTCTCTGATTTCCACATGGACCTGAAGCTCTGCCCTGACCACCACCTCTCAAGAGTCTATACCTTCACAAAAAGAGAGACGGGTTAAAATAGGTTCATGTTTTTATTTCCCAAAATATTGATATAAATACGATAAACAGAATACTTTGTGCTTCATTGAGTATAACCACAGAACAGCAATGTACATATTTCAACTGAGATTTAGTGTTAAGAAATACATCAAACCGTCTCCCGTAGTGTTATCATTATAAGTTGTATTTAACATGTTGTGAAGCATTCTTTACATTTTTCTTGTCTGAAATATATTAATAAACCACAGTTATTGCATTATATAAACTGGATGTCTCAGTTTGGGGCATGATTCACAAACAATTGTCTTGTTCTGTGTGTCGCTTTCAGCAGCAACCAGTGTCGAAGTCTTCAGTCGTCCAGGTCCAAATAGCAATATTATTAAAACAGTAGAAAAATAAGTATTGAACGTCCACACGCCATAAACGCATGTGCCATAATTTAAGTAAGGATTAATGTTTAAAACCAAGCATCGATGGCGGATGGTTTTTGTACACATCTTGTTATAAAATATTGAAATAAAAATAAAATCTTACAATAACATACAATGATCTCTGGTCTTTGGTTGAAAAAACGTGTGAGTAGAATTAAAATACACATGACAGGTTACAAAACACACAAAACACAACTTTAAATTTCAGATTTAGCTAAATATTGTATACATTTAATCCATAGACTGTATAGAGGCCGATTTGAAAGTAAGATGCTGGAGCCAGTTTCCTTATATGGGCATGTGTTCCCATGGCGTTAGCTTAGCACTGTCGCAAAACCAGTTGTATCGCTAACTATTTATTTATTACTTTTTACCAAGTGATGTCAAATGTTTTTTTTTAAATGAGGAAGTCAAATTTTAAAACCAAAATAAAATGCAAAGTTTTTATAACAATATTTGCCAAATGTCTTGCAAAATATTCTGAAATATAATTGATTTAAAGCTGGGGTACCTAACTTTTGGTTTGTCGCTATTAACATTGTTTTTGTTGTTGTTTCTCCCAAGTACAATGCAAAAAGTCAAACCGCAACCTGTCTGCATCTTGTAATGTTTTGATGTTATCTTTTGAGCACTCGTCAGAAAGAGCCCTGTGAGTCACTATTTGACTCTGTGAGCTGAGAGCTGATTGGCTGAGTGTGGGTGGTCCTCTCTTTGGCACTTGTCTGTATGAAAAAGCTGATCTAAAGATGTGACAGAGGCCAAAAACACATGCATAGAACCAAACTGTTTTAAGAGAACAACAAAAAGTGATTAAAACTAGTAAAAATTGCTCAAAGTTGTCAAAAAGTATCTTAATCTAAGCACATTTTGACTGCCTTGAAACAAGATCAGTTCTTGAATTAAGACTAAATGGCTTTGTCCCATCGGAAAAACTGGTTTTAAGACTCAGAATGTGCTCAAACTAAGATTAAAACCACTCAATTCAAGCCATTATTACCTCGTATTTGATCGTTTTTTGCAGCGAGAGAGGAACTAGTTACATTGACTTTATCAGTTACATTGTTATTATATGGAAGTTACGTACCCCAGCTTTACCTGCATATTAGCACAGACTGATGTAACCTGTCGTATGAACTTTAAAACATTTTTCAATATCTTTTTATTTGCATTGTCTTCTTGCAAACAGTCTTTTTTAACACTCATATTCTCAACCAGTCATTTCTCTGTTCCAGCCGTCGTCTTTCACCGCAGTTTACGATCTCGAAGCCACACTTTGACTTTGTTTATAGCTCTAAAAACAACAGCGTTTGCAAAATAAGTCACTCGCGTAAACCTCGTCTCGACCAAAAAACCGCAAAAGTCTGTTTTCGGTGCTCAGAGGTTACTCGATTGTCGACAGAAAATGGAAAAATAGGTACTCTCAGTGTTTGTCTTTGGTTGGAGATGAAATTGGGTTAAAATAAAAAATTGGAAACCCGTGAGAAGTTCCATGTTTAGAAAAATCTTCCAGACGCATTTTTCTTCTCAGCATTTGGTGGTGACAGTCGTTTTGTTGACTAGTTTGGGGTCGATTTTGGCCACCAGCAGTTTGAGCGTGTCTCCAGACGACCGGATCAGCTCTTTCCCACTGAGGAAAACACACACGGACACAAAGAAGACGTTAATATCAGTTTTGTAGTTTTATATTGCAACAATAAGATATGGAAGCATATTCATGGTACACTGCAAACACGACAAAAATTATAAAAAATGCTTGAATAATGTTGAATTTATTTAGATTTAATTTTGAGTACCCCACTGGCATATCTTGTTTTTAGACATACAAAGGGTACTTTTTAAAGTAATCTATATCTATAATCTACTGTACAAGCGCCCTCCACCTTCCCCCATGGCCTTACACCAAATTACATCTGTGACATGTTAGTGCCATATGAAACAAGTCAGACTCTGAAAAGCACAGGAACTGGCCTCCTGCTGCGACTCTGAGGAGCACAGGGACTGGCCTCCTGCTGGGACTGAACTGAACATACAACTGAAAGATTGCATCTTTTCTTTTTCATGGACTGTGATATTTCAAAATTCCACTGCCTTATGTGATTGTTTTTTATCTATTGGCTTGTGTATGAACTGTGCTATACAATATACTTGCCTTGAGGTGATCTGTGACGGGAGATAGTCCGTCCAAGTCATTCATAACGTCTAAATAACTGAGTGTGTGTGGAGGCTGTAATATACTTGATCTACTGGATGTATAGGTTCCTTGCTTACATGCTGTAGTCCATGCCCACCAGGCTGATGCCGTTCACTGCCAGGATCCTGTCCCCAACCCGCAGCTTGAGACTCAGAGCGGCCGGAGACTCTGGGATCACAGACTTCACGTAGATGCCACTCATCTGCAGAGGAGTTTTCTGAAAGAGAGGAGAACTTTGGTTACACACAGAGACAACATGCTTCTGTTACAGTAAGACTCTATAGGATTCTCACTGCAACTTTGTGTTTTTGACCTGAGTTGAAATGTTGTATGTATCCATGGCAACAGTGAGAAAGATTGGAGATTTTTTTTTAGACCTGTGTCAGCTTTTTAACCACAGCTTTTTAACCACAGGGAAGACAGCAATGTGTTGAATTCTAATCAACTTTCAAATTTGTTTTCTCGAGTCATAAATTTGACCCCAGGAGTGCCCCCCCCTTACTTTTTGAGTCACTAAGTAAGTACAGTAAGTAGGTAAGTAAGTAAGTAATCTTTATTTATAAACCCCCTTTCACAGACCAGAGTCACAAAGCAGTTTACAATTGTGGCCATTTGTCTCTCACTCCACACAGAGATGGGAGCGGGGTCGCCAGTACAGGAGGCGCATGCCAGACCTATTGTACATGTTTTTAGTGGTAGGGGAAACCGGAGTACCTGGAGGAAACCTACGCAGATACGGGGAGAACATGCAAACTCCACTCAGAAAGGCCCTGTTCCGACCAGGATTGGAACCCAGGACCTTCTTGCTGAGAAGCGAGAGTGCTATCCACTCAGCCACTGTGTATCACTGTATACTCGAAGCCTGGAACTGGTATCTACCTCATTGTGGAATCTCTATCACTTGGTTTTAGGAACTTTAACATTCAAACTGCATCAACATTTCGTAAAGGCTTATAATTACAAAACCAGGAGATAAAAAAACAAACTAATAAAACTAATTATCTATGTTACTAGTGCTCTTAAGGAGTGAACATGAACATAAGCACAAACGCAAGCAAACGGTTGTTCAAAGTTCTTGCTACAGAGCTTGTTACTCTGCCAGTTTGTTATTATATCCATCCATCCATCCATTTTCTTCCGCTTCATCCGTTGCCGGGTTGCGGGGGCAGCAGTCTAAGCAGAGACGCGAAGACTTCCCTATCCACACACACTTCCTCCAGCTTATCCGGAGGACCCCAAGGCGTCTCGCTAATACTGACCAGTGGGGGCAGGTCCCAGCTCAAAAGTGGCCAAAATGACGTGCGCTGACATGCTTGCAATACCACCCCGGGCCGATGGGGGTGGACCCAGAAGAAGAATTAGCCAATGCTAACATATAGCATTGGCAGACCTCTCAAAAACGTCTTTACAGGATGGACCAAAAGTTGGCTCTTGGCCCAAAGTTCCGTTCCACATGTGGGTCAATGCTGAGGGGGGTGAATTTTTTTGGACCACTCTGTTTACTTGCTGTGAATTTTTGAAGTCTCTCGTTCAAATGAATGGAGCTCTCGCCGGCTGAGATGCGTTTTTTCACAATTTTCTTGTGGGTGGGACCACTCGCGGCCATTTTGGATAGCTCCAGTAGAGCACATTTTTTGGCCCATTAGTTAGAACGGCGGAGATAGGCGTGACTATGTCCGTTAAACTTACTCCCACTGATGACTGCTGTCGTTGTGTCCTTGGGCAAGACACTTAACCCCACTTTGCCTGAAGCCCCCACTGGAATCTCAGCTCCTGTGGACTCACCACCTGCAGGAGGATCAGTGAGGGGCTGGTGCTTTGTGGACTGGGTGCAGCTCTGACTGCCACCCCCCCGACCCAGAAATGGATTAAGGGGAAGAAAATGGATGGATGGATGGATATGTCCGTTAATATATACGGTCTATGATACTGACACATACAGTGATGTTGATGAATGTGCACTGTGCCTATTCAAATGAACTAATACGTAAATAAAATTCCAACTGGTTTTTATTTCTTTATCAGAGTTATGTTTTTTTTTTCCTCAGTCACAAGACCACAGCTCAATTCTCCAGATTAAACAGTTTGTTAAAGTTAAAAGTCTTGAGCTGTAAATCCAAAGCTGCGAAAGCCCATTTGTACTACCAGTCTCTAACTGCTCCTGGGATTAGTTTAAGAGTTAATGTGAAAGACCAACAAAGCCCTCGGTGTAGTCCCGGTCCAGCTTATAGTGCGTCTAACAGGCTGGAATACACTTCTTACTAAATCACCCAACTTCTCCATATGACACCCAACTTCTCAATATGACACCCAACTTCTCCATATGACACCCAACTTCTCCATATGACACCAAACTTCTCAATATGACACCCAACTTCTCCATATGACACCCAACTTCTCCATATGACACCAAACTTCTCAATATGACACCCAACTTCTCCATATGACACCCAACTTCTCCATATGACACCCAACTTCTCAATATGACACCCAACTTCTCAATATGACACCCAACTTCTCCATATGACACCCAACTTCTCAATATGACACCCAACTTCTCCATATGACACCCAACTTCTCCATATGACACCCAACTTCTCAATATGACACCCAACTTCTCCATATGACACCCAACTTCTCAATATGACACCCAACTTCTCCATATGACACCCAACTTCTCCATATGACACCCAACTTCTCCATATGACACCCAACTTCTCCATATGACACCCAACTTCTCAATATGACACCCAACTTCTCCATATGACACCCAAATTCTCAATATGACACCCAACTTCTCCATATGACACCCAACTTCTCAATATGACACCCAACTTCTCATTATGACACCCAACTTCTCCATATGACACCCAACTTCACCATATGACACCCAACTTCTCCATATGACACCCAACTTCTCCATATGACACCCAACTTCTCCATATGACACCCTCTCCATATGACACCCAACTTCTCCATATGACACCCAACTTCTCCATATGACACCCAACTGCTCAATATGACACCCAACTGCTCCATATGACACCCAACTTCTCAATATGACACCCAACTTCTCCATATGACACCCAACTTCTCAATATGACACCCAACTTCTCCATATGACACCCAACTTCTCCATATGACACCCAACTTCTCCATATGACACCCAACTTCTCCATATGACACCCAACTTCTCCATATGACACCCAACTTCTCCATATGACACCCAACTGCTCAATATGACACCCAACTGCTCCATATGACACCCAACTTCTCAATATGACACCCAACTTCTCCATATGACACCCAACTTCTCAATATGACACCCAACTTCTCCATATGACACCCAACTTCTCAATATGACACCCAACTTCTCATTATGACACCCAACTTCTCCATATGACACCCAACTTCACCATATGACACCCAACTTCTCCATATGACACCCAACTTCTCCATATGACACCCAACTTCTCAATATGACACCCAACTTCTCCATATGACACCCAACTTCTCCATATGACACCCAACTTCTCCATATGACACCCAACTTCTCCATATGACACCCAACTTCTCAATATGACACCCAACTTCTCCATATGACACCCAAATTCTCAATATGACACCCAACTTCTCCATATGACACCCAACTTCTCAATATGACACCCAACTTCTCATTATGACACCCAACTTCTCCATATGACACCCAACTTCACCATATGACACCCAACTTCTCCATATGACACCCAACTTCTCAATATGACACCCAACTTCTCATTATGACACCCAACTTCTCCATATGACACCCAACTTCACCATATGACACCCAACTTCTCCATATGACACCCAACTTCTCCATATGACACCCAACTTCTCAATATGACACCCAACTTCTCCATATGACACCCAAATTCTCAATATGACACCCAACTTCTCCATATGACACCCAACTTCTCAATATGACACCCAACTTCTCATTATGACACCCAACTTCTCCATATGACACCCAACTTCACCATATGACACCCAACTTCTCCATATGACACCCAACTTCTCAATATGACACCCAACTTCTCATTATGACACCCAACTTCTCCATATGACACCCAACTTCACCATATGACACCCAACTTCTCCATATGACACCCAACTTCTCCATATGACACCCAACTTCTCAATATGACACCCAACTTCTCCATATGACACCCAACTTCTCCATATGACACCCAACTTCTCCATATGACACCCAACTTCTCCATATGACACCCAACTTCTCAATATGACACCCAACTTCTCCATATGACACCCAAATTCTCAATATGACACCCAACTTCTCCATATGACACCCAACTTCTCAATATGACACCCAACTTCTCATTATGACACCCAACTTCTCCATATGACACCCAACTTCACCATATGACACCCAACTTCTCCATATGACACCCAACTTCTCCATATGACACCCAACTTCTCCAGTTGGTCAACCTACCTACAAGGCCAAATGTGAAGAGTCCTGATAAGTCTACTTTGATTGATTTAGTCCTAACAAATGTCCCTCATAAATTCTCAACATTGGGTGTGTTCTGCAATGATTTGAGCGATCATTGTGTTGTTGCTACTTGTAGGAACACTAAAATCCCCAAATGCAAACCACATATTATTTGCAAGAGAAATATAAAATTATTCAATGAACAGGCGTATCATCATGATTTGTCTTTGGTTAATTGGGGGCAATTGAGCCTGCTGCCAGATGTGGAGCTGGCTTGGACATACTTCAAGGAAAGTTTTATGAAGATTGTAAATAAGCATGCTCCAATCCGGAAATTCAGAATCAAGGGACGAGAGAACCCTTGGTTTTCCCCAGAATTGTCAGAGTCCATCCATCAACGCAATGTGGCATGGGCCAAAGCCAGGAAATGTGATTCTCCATCTGACTGGTCTAATTTCAGGCATTTAAGAAATAAATGTACTTCTCTTATCAAAAAGGCTAAATCAGAATATTACTTATCTGTCACAACAGAAAACCTCAACAACCCACAGAAATTTTGGAAAGTGATAAAGTCTCTATCTGTAAACAGAAGACCTCATGCTTTTCCAAAATGTGTCTTAAAAGACTCTGTCCCTGTGTATGATAGGACTGAGGTCTTAAATAGCTTTAACGAGCACTTTGTAGCTTCTGGTTCTTTGTTTGACTTCTCAGGAGCAGCCCCTGTGACTCCCTGCACAGAATCTCCAATGTCTTCTGGAGAGCGTTTTAATTTTGTTCCTTTTACTGTGCAGGAAGTGCATAAAGCTCTCAAAGCACTAGACCACAGAAAACCCCCCGGACCAGACTTGATAGAGCCCTACTTCTTGAAAATAGCAGCTGAATATGTAGCACAGCCTCTTACGGTCCTTTTTAATCTTTCAATTCAAAGCAAAGAAATCCCACTTGTTTGGAAGTCTGCTTTTGTTACCCCTTTACTAAAAGGAGGTGACCCAGCTGTTTTAAGTAACTACAGGCCAATATCAAATTTTTGTGTATTGTCAAAAGTTCTTGAATCTCTTGTTTGTGATCAACTCAAAGAGTTCCTGCACTCTAATGAACTTCTCTCTAAACTGCAATCCGGCTTCAGGAAAAAGCACAGTACCATCACAGCTGCTACAAAAGTGATAAATGACATACTTGTTGCTCTTGATAAAAAGCAATATTATGCTTCCCTTTTTATTGATCTGTCAAAGGCTTTTGACACTGTGGATCATGCTATTTTAAAGCATAGGCTTCTTTGTTTGGGACTGTCTAATCATGTTGTTTCCTGGTTCGCAAATTATCTGAGTCACAGGACCCAGTGTATTAAATGTGAGGGCCTGTGTTCTGAATTTTTGAATGTCCACAAGGGGGTGCCACAGGGTTCAATATTAGGACCCCTTCTGTTCATCATGTATATTAATGAATTGGGACAAAATGTGTCTGACGCTAATATGCATTTTTACGCTGATGACACAATAATTTACTGTTTTGGAATTAACCCTGTTAAAGCTGTAGAATCTCTGCAGAAAGCTTTTGATGTGGTCCAGCACACACTTCTGCAGCTAAAACTGGTCCTCAACGCTGAAAAGACTAAACTAATGTTGTTTTCAAATACTAAGAAGGTTTCTCAAACGATCCCCTCAGTGTCCACTTCTGAAGGAAAAGTCATAGAGGTGGTTCACACTTACACTCAAAGAAATGACTTGTAGAATTTACTTAATAAAATCATTGTAAGTATTTGCACTCAAAGTAATTTTAATGCTGTAATATCAAGTATAACTTACTTGCCAGTATCAAGTACAATGTACTTACTACTAACCTTAAACTTTGTGAGGATATTATGTAAATGTTATGCAATTATTTTCATACAGGAATATCAGATATTAAAATATTAGGTAAATCTTACTTTTTTATATCATTTTCTGTTATGAAGTGAATAAGTAGATATTACTTAATTTTTCTGTTTAAATTATTATTATTATTTACATGCTTTTTGGGTTGTTCCACTTTAATTGTATCATGGATGTCATAATATTTATTATTCAAATAGAGCTCAGCGACAGGTGGTACAGTGTACAGACTCTGTGGCACACATACGATACACGTTTGATCTAGTGACAAACCCAGGAAGTAAAGCCATACTTTGACTTGGCCATGTCGATCATGGTTGGTAAAAATATATTTAAATTTTTTCATTTGGTCAAATTTGTTTGTTCAAAATGTTGCTCACGTATTTTGTTTTAAGACTTGCTTTGTATTCACCCTCAAAATTAATGCTCAAATGTAGATTTTTTCAGAAGTTTATGTTTTTCTCTGCATTGCATTCTGGGTAGCGTCACTACTTCACCCAATAGTTAAAAGTTACTTGATTTTTTCAGGTTTTGGTGCTATGACAATAAATCATGTAAATGGTACGAGCAAATCTCTAGTAAGATGTACTCTTTCCACTCAATTAATTAATTACCTGAATATACTGTGTAAATATTTATGTTTTTAACTAGTTTTTGCTGAAAGTTGATATTATAGGTAGAAACTACTACTTTTGAGTTAGTATATATTACTACACCCAAAAATCATTTTTTTGAGTGTACAAATACCTTGGTATATTGCTTGATGACTCCCTGAATTTCAAGCCCCACATAGACAATCTTGTGAAAAAACTTAAACTCAAATTGGGCTTTTTCTTTCAAAATAAATTTTGTTTTTCTTTTAAAGCAAAAAAGCAGCTTGTCACTGCAACATTTGTATCTATTTTAGACTATGGAGACCTGCTGTACATGAACGCGTCTGCTCAATGTCTACACAAGATTGACACTGTATATCATGCTTCTCTGAGGTTCATTACTAACTGTAGGGCCTTGACCCATCATTGTGAGCTGTATTCTCGAGTGGGATGGCCTTCTTTGTCCTCCAGGAGGCAGAGTCATTGGTATACTTTTATTTATAAAGCCATGCTTGGTCTACTGCCCTCTTACATCTGTAACCTAATCTCACGGAGGAGCGTTGGCTCTTATAGTTTGCGTTCAAATGATCATTTGTTGCTCACTGTTCCATTTGCCCGTTCAGAACTGGGAAAAAGGGCATTTGTTCACTCTGCTCCTTCTACATGGAACACGTTGCAAAAAGACTGGAAAATAACTGATCTTATTCCATTGAACGAATTTAAGTCCAAAGTGAGAGCACTTGAGTCAACCTCTTGTAAATGTTTTTTATAATGAGTATGTAATGTGTATGTAATTTCTTAAACTGTATATTTTGCTGCCTCTTGGCCAGGACTCCCTTGAAAAAGAGGTTTTTAATCTCAATGGGACTTTCCTGGTTAAATAAAGGTTAATAATAATAATAATAATATGACACCCAACTTCTCAATATGACACCCAACTTCTCCATATGACACCCAACTTCTCCATATGACACCCAACTTCTCCATATGACACCCAACTTCTCCATATGACACCCAACTTCTCCATATGGCACCCAACTGCTCAATATGACACCCAACTGCTCCATATGACACCCAACTGCTCAATATGACACCCAATTTCTCCATATGACACCCAACTGCTCAATATGACACCCAACTGCTCCATATGACACCCAGTAATAAAGACAACAAGAGAAAAAGAGCACAGGGGATTTAAGCGAGAGACGCAAGGGAAAACGAATGAGGGCGGGGCCGACAATCAACAGAGAACAGGTAACGATAACTCAAGCCTCTTACCGTCCCGTCCACGAGGGCCAGTCCCAAACCCTGGGGTCCTTTCTGTAGCTCCACAGTAAATACCTCCTCGCTGTCCACCTCCGCCTCCTCCGAACTCTCCTCCGAACTCCCATTCACTGAAGACAGAAACAGAAAAGAAATGCAAAAAGTGGATTAATTTCACAATTTTCACCAATCTGACATATTACAGCTCTTTGGCTTGATCTACTTTCCATCCATCTTTAGTGAAACCGTATTATGACACGTTTCCAAAGCATTTGTGAAAACCTCCTCAAATTTATTTCATTTGATAAAGCCGTGTACGTGGTGCTCGACCGGAAAAAGGTGCCTTGCCCTCTGCAGGTGGGTGGAGAGGTCCTTCCTCAAGTGGAGGAGTTCAAGTATCTCGGGGTCTTGTTCACGAGTGAGGGAAGAATGGAGCGTGAGATTGACAGGCGGATCGGTGCAGCATGCGCAGTGATGCGGTCGCTGTATCGGACTGTTGTGGTAAAGAGGGAGCTGAGCCGAAAGGCAAAGCTCTCGATTTACCGGTCAATCTTCGTTCCCTATGGTCATGAGCTGTGGGTAGTGACCTAAAGAACGAGATCGCGGATACAAGCGGCCGAAATGAGCTTCCTCCGCAGAGTGGCTGGGCGCTCCCTTAGAGATAGGGTGAGGAGCTCAGTCACACGGGAGGAGCTCGGAGTAGAGCCGCTGCTTCTCCACGTCGAGAGGAACCAGTTGAGGTGGCTCGGGCATCTGTTCCGGATGCCTCCTGGACGCCTCCCTGGGGAGGTGTTCCGGGCACGTCCCACCGGGAGGAGGCCCCGCGGAAGACCTAGGACACGCTGGAGGGACTATGTCTCTCAGCTGGCCTGGGAACGCCTTGGGGTCCCCCCGGACGAGCTGGAGGAAGTGTGTGTGGATAGGGAAGTCTGGACGTCTCTGCTTAGACTGCTGCCCCCGCGACCCGGCAACGGATAAAGCGGAAGAATTGAAAGCCGTGTACGTGTGAAAAACCAGTCCATTCAGAGGAGTTGGTGCCGACAATTTAATCATAGACTGTAAATGTTAATTGACGTAGTCACGCCCGTTCTAACATAATTTTGGCCACTTTTCACTATGAATGTTTGCAACTTGCTATGACGGCATGCTCTTAATAATTCATCAAAAACATTAATACGGTCCACAATATTTAACCTTTTTATTTTTTTAGCTTTATTCCATCTTCGGTTAAATCCAAGCTAGAATTGTCCTGCTCCACTCTGCTACTGTTATGTAAAAGGCTGTTGCACTTTATTACTATTGTAGCTTTTAGAATCATGTATTTATTTGTTTGAATGGATAGATGCGGTTTTTTAGCTGGAGACCTGAATTTCTCCTTTGTGGGATCATTAAAGTATCTATCTATCTAATGAACAAATATAACGTACACTGGACACTATTGACTGTGGTATATTGATTTCTCCTCTTCTCATGTCCTATACAGTCCCAGTTCCCAGCCGTACACACACACACACACACACAAACAGTCACACACAGGAGTCCTGGTCCCCTCCCTCTTGGACCCATGCTCCAAACAATGCACCACTCTCTCCAGCAGGATTCCTCCAACCAAGCCAACTGTAAATTCCCATGACGAGCCTTTTCTCTCCTGACATCACCTCCACTCTGTGATTCTTGGGCTCAGATTAAAGGATTACCAACAAACTTTCAAAATAACACTAGTCCTGATCCCCCCCCCCCCAACCCAAGAGGTACAGACAGGTTTGGGTCACGACAGGGTGTTTTATATGGGATTATGTTAAGTGCATTAAGTGGCTTGATACAAATGGCCTTGACAGAGACGTATTTTTATTTTCTTGGCAATTTTCTCCCTCGCTGCAATAGAAAGACATACTGTAGTTGAGGGTTTTGTTTGCCACATTTTTGTTGGCTAGTTTTTCTGGAATAGATCTAAACCAAGTCCAATCCATGAAAAAAACAGTTGCATCAGAGCCAGTACCATCCAACAATATAGACCAGAATTAAACCAAACATTAAACCAGTACATTTGTGAGAGTTTATATTTTGAAACAAGCAGCAATAATTAAACGTAAATCTCTCATAATTAAATATTTGTATTTGCAAATTGACACAGTTTTGTGTTCTTCTTTCTGTAGGTTTCTGAATACTTTTGCTGGAAGACAGGGTCACTTCTCAAGCTTTACTTTTGGTCTTCCTTTCTTGCAGGTACCCAACCCCATCGTCAGAGAGATGGGCGTATTCCTCTGAAGGGAAGGAACCATAAACCATACTGGATTACATCAACAGATATCTGTTTTTTGATTTGTCTCTGAGTTTCTCACGTTGTTGGTCGTGGCAGTGGGAGCAGGTGTCAATCTAGTCTTCATGTCTTCAGACTGGGAGGCTGGAGAAAGACTGTTAGTAGAAGCTTCAAGGTCTTTCAGGATCAAGTTGTCAGCTTCTTCCTCCGTGTGTTCAGAGCATGAATACAGGTTCAGCGTCATCCCGTGACATTTCAGTGTCCCAGGGTGAAATATAACTCAGGATTGGATCGGGAGGTTTGTGAGGTTCCAGTCTCCTGTGGATTTACTCCTGGTTGCTAATCCATAAGCTGTCAGTATATCGAAATGTCCTGGAACAATATCTGAACAAATCTGTAGCTCTGCCAGAGGGAAGAAGCTGGAACATTGGTCAAACCCCCACATGACCAGTCACCCTGTTTGTTTTCTGTATTTATGAATGCTAATGTTTTTCAATTGCACTCTTTGAACCATGTCTGTACAACGTCCTTGGGTGTTTTGAAAGGCGTTCCCTTTGGGTGTTCCCTATAGTCCCATTTTTACGCAGCCGCTCTGAAAAAGGCCATTCGCTTTGACATCCCTCTTTAATCGAAGGCAGGAATGATGATGTAGAGCTGCCGTCTAACTTTTTGTCCCTGATTTAGGGAGCTTTAAACACCACGCATATGTTCAAAGAGGGGCCCAGCTGGTTCCAATGTAATCCTCAAGACCATTAGCCCAAATGACTTCAAATGAAGAGAAACTCCACACAAGCAGTGCCCATTGAAGGTAATGCTTTCTGATGGAGACAGTGTCCGGCAGATTACGAACCGTACGCGATTGGCCTGAATTTGGTCCGCGGCGAGGGGGACCAAAGTTGAACCGTCTTAAAGCAAGTTTGTTTGAAGGTTTAAAAAAAAGAAAAGGCTGGAGGTGGTCTGTTTTCACACTGGCTGCTTCTCAGTCCCACGCGAGGATGAATGAGCAGGGAGGAGGCGATAGGAACATAACACAGGCTTTCATCCCGGGACAAAACGGTGGAACAATGAGCCATAACTTAATAAGATTGTTTGAGGCTCTGAAACAAAATGTACAGTGCTGTAAGTGGGTGTCACGCTGATGGGACGGAGGGAGATTTGCCGGAGAGACAGAATTAGTGGCTGACTAAATCATTTCTTGTCCCACTGTATGTCTCTTTTTTGGATTGAAAGAAAACATTTGATGCTCCAAAATGACTCCATAACTCATTCGCTTTTGCTGCGTCGTTAAATTCTCCAAGATTTGAGTATATTGGGGAAGGCACCTATAAGTTTTTTGTTACTGCTGTCTCCTTTTGAGCTTTGTTTCATGAATTATATGTGCCTGTAAAAAATACACTGTAAAACTGCTCAAATAAAAATACTACTACTACTAATAGTATTTCTTAGCTGTTGAATCTTGGCAATTGAACCGGGAAAGGCTAGACTAGGGAGCTCAATTCACAATGAACTACATTTCAATCCAGATTAGGCATGTCAAACTCATGGCCCGTGTGCCAAATTCTGCCCACAAGACCATTTTCAGTGGCCCCTAACACGACTTTTAGTTATTTTAACTTGCAGCATTGATAATAATGAACAACCACAGCATATTTTCTCAGATAAACAACGGCATTTAATTTGTTCTGAAGTTTTAATACAATTTATCATTAGTTTTGGTTAATAAACACATTTCATGACAAATAAAAGTTATGTCAAAAAATCATCACAATATAAAAAACAATTATAATTTATTCTTATGGCCCTGACCAGCTCTCATTTTTTGTTTTACTTCGCCTTTGATCCAGATTAAAATGTGCCCAGTGTGAATGTAAAGTGTCTTAAATCTCGCCCGTTTGAAGTTTTGTCTTTGAGGAAGTGGCGGTGGTCTCGCTCACTTTCTCGCTCCCACAGATGAGCTCATAAAGGGAGGCGTCCGAACACAAAGAGCAGAGGAAACACTGCTTCCTGCGCAGTCACCGGTGCGGCCTTTTCTACTTCACATTCCTCACACTCCACTCACTGCCACCGCCGCCACTGCTGCTGCTTACAACGGTTTATAGATTCCAAGTAGATTTACCACTTTGAATTTTTGTATTCAGTGTGGACATAATAAATACATAAATCCAGGAACAATGGCATTTGAGAGGAGATTGAAACCTTTTAATTTTTTATAGTCCTAAATCACAACAGAAGTTATCTCGAAGGACTTAAAAAAACAAATCAGAAAATCAAACAGTTCAAACTCAAGAAATGCTATGATAAAAACACACATTGAGTCATTGGTCCATAAGAGGCAGATGACCAATGTCCATACATGTTGATAAAGTCTGTATTTATTTGATTTAGATTTCAGAACTCTTTTGAAGCCACTGTGGTTAAAGGTGAACTCATCATGAGGACAGTATGCACGAGCAGGTGATTTTCTGAAGGTTGAAATAGCATAACGCCGTCACAAAGAGAAAGAGCTTGATTGTTCTCGTTTAAAAATCACATACATTCTGAAAAACGATAAGTGTCTTCTGTCTGCGTGACAATCCAGAACCCTGTGTCATTCTCTTCACAAGTCAACAGAGAAGTCTTGTAAAGGAAACATGTTATCTTTTCCACATGTCCACAGGCTGAGAGCTGATTGGCTGAGAGCTGAGTGGCTGAGAGCTGATTGGCTGAGAACTGATTGGCTGAGAGCTGATTGGCTGAGAGCTGATTGGCTGAGAGCTGATTGGCTGAGAGCTGATTGGCTGAGAGCCGAGTGGCTGAGAGCTGATTGGCTGAGAACTGATTGGCTGAGAACTGATTGGCTGAGAGCTGATTGGCTGAGAGCTGATTGGCTGAGAGCTGATTGGCTGAGAGCTGAGTGGCTGAGAGCTGAGTGGCTGAGAACTGAGTGGCTGAGAGCTGATTGGCTGAGATTTCCACATGGAAACTAATGACAGAAGCAACTGTTTTGAGAGTGAGGAAGATATTACATTGATTTCTACATACTTGTGTTTGTTATGGATAGTTTGGCAGCTTTAAACACTATGCAAGTAATGTTTTATGATTTTCTCACAGGCCACAGGTCATTGTAAAAGAAGAATGTGTTCTCCGATAACAATCTGGTTGAATATTGTATAAATAAATATAATGTCTCTATGTGGAAGATTGTAATCAAAGGAAAGAATTAAGTCAAATGTTTTATTCAAGTGCAAACACGTGCATGTACATGTGTCTATTTCTACTGTAAAACGTGCTGTGCCAGGGCTTTCATTCATTATTTTTCTTATGTGTAAATTTGAAATCAAAGTTGTGATGACACAGTGGTACGATGACATCATTCTATTACAAGACTGAGACAGAGGTTAATAAGCAGAAGGGGCGAGAAGGGGAGTTACTGTACAACTCTACGTTACAAAAAAAGAGATAATAATTGCTTGAATCAAGTTGTTTTTCACTTAATTTGAACTTCCTGATAGATCTAAAAAAAAAAGAGAAAAAAAAAAAGGTTAATCTAAAGGCTCAAAAGGCTTCATTACAGACACAAGGACCAGATAAAAAATATGTCACAAAAAATCCCAAGAAAAAACATACTAGTTAGTGTAGACTACTGTACCAGTGACGCCACAGTTCAGACTGATTCAGAATTTGTTCAGGCTCATGAAAATCACATTCTGACATCGCTTCAGCCGACAAATACATAAAAAATGTCTTAAGACAGCAAAAAAAGTCAGAATCCCACAAGAAGCAGCTGGCCCTCTCCCACCGAGGCCTTTTCTACACAAGTCTTAAACAGTCAATTATTTTACATTATAAATCTCCTTTATGAAAGCTGACAAATTGAAATTCTATTGTGATAAATCTTGCAGCCCTATGACTCGAACTGAGCAGGTCCAAAAGGGACGGACATCGTTTATGCTCAGGACACCGCCGGCTTCAGACCTGGACAAATATGCAGCCGAGCGGAGGTCAAGACACTAAATACTTGCCTTAACAGGTTTCCGTCAGTCAGGAAGAGCCAAACGAGGTGCTTTCTCTGAGAAGGGAGGTGCGGTGGTCTTAGTGACGGAGCCGTGACTCACATTGGGCTGAATTATAACCTGATGTGGACACGATGGGAAAGGATTTTTGACTTTTAAGGTGTTTTTGTTGAAGAGGGTCAGAGATGTTAAGGTTTCAGCTGCCTTTGTGGCCTCAAAAAGAACAACATGAACTCGAACAGACCTTATTACAGTTTGAAATATGGTCTCCGTATCAGGACTCCCACATGTGAGGTCTGAACTCAACACAATTTGCACACAAAAAAGAGTACATGTAAGCGCTTGCATTTATATAATATATCTATCGGGGTCTGGCACAAAAGTACAGCAGATATTTGTAGATGGCTGCATTTGTGATTAACACTACAATTACCAGAGCAGGAAATTTGACTGTGTTTCGTTTTGGAAGTGGAACAACTCAGCCTTTGTCAGCCTATGTCCATTTTATCTATTTATGAAATTTTTGAATCCCCATTATCTTCCACAAGTTATCGCTAGTCTTCTTGGGGTCCATGGTGTCGAATGGTTGTCTTCATACACTGCAAAAAGTGTTGAAAATGAAGGCAAAAAATCCTAAAATTTGGCAAAATGTATCTCAAGGGGATATTGGAGGATTTTCCCAAATTTTAGGAAAAAACTGCCCTCTTCACTTTTTGAACAAAACTCTCTGGTCTTATTGGACGAGCACGTATCACCAGAAGGATTGACAATTGGAAGGACCCATAGTCTTGACGATCCACCAGGAAGTAGACAATCCTCTTATATACTATATAATTGAGCACATATTGGAATGAGAAAATAAAGCAAAAGTTCTTGAAATTAGACTAAATAGACTTCAAAACAATATCATAATTTTCCAAGTGTCACATGTATATTCTCTCTCCTACGCTTTGGGCTAAAGACAAACCAGTTATCAGAATGAGTTGGACATTCATTTGGACATCCAGCTGTGGCGCCTTCCCCTTATGGTGGCTCCACCCGTGTATGAATTGTGCTATCCAAATAAACATGTCTTTCCTAATCCACCACACCCATTCTACTCGTCTTCCCCCATGTTTTTTTGTTGTTGTTGTTCCTTGCTGATCCAGGACACTTGACATTCAACGACATTTATAGACTTCAACAACACATATGGACATTTATCATCTACCTCTCATGAACCAATGGCTCTATGTGATTTTTATCATAGCATTTCCTGTGTTTAAACTGTTTCAGATCTGCGTTGGTGAATCGACATTGTTTTAAAGTCTTCCGAGACAACTACTGCTGTCATCTAGAGCTATACCAAAATCCATTGAATTGCATGTTGCACATACTGATCGAGTTTCTGCGGTTACCTCTCTGGGTCTCAGCGTCCTGGTCCCTCCTCTCCTCCTCCAGCTCGTTCAGCTCGGTGCCTTGGGGCGTGTTGGGCGGGGTCAGCAAACACGAGGGGTCCAGGGCCAGGCTCTTGTGGGAGGCCAGGTCGGCGGGCCCCGGAAGAGAGCTCTGTATCTCCAGACTCTTGAGTTTGTGGCTCAGCTCGGCCTCGCAGCTGCTGAGGTCGGAGTGCGCTGGCCGGGGTGGGCTGGGCTCCACATGGGGGCTCCCCGGCTCCGGAGGGGAACAGGTCTGTGCGGGGGACTGTCTGTCGGAGAGAGTCTGCGGAGAGTGGACGTTGAGACAATCATTAGCAGATGGAAGCGTCTTTGTAAAAGTGGTGAAAGGCAGATTTAGTCCTGTAAGAGTAAACATAGGGATTCAAAGTTTACACTCAGGGAGGATCTGCAGTGTTTTGTCCATATTTTAGAGATGAATCATAATAAAAAACACTTTCCAGACTCATCTTTTGTGGTTGTGAAGATGTATTGCCAAAGAAACACATTTTACTATTATCACACATTAACAGAATTGAGTCGCTGAAGGGAGATCTCAGAAGTGCAGTTCATTCAAGTCTTCATAATCTCATAAATCTCAGAATTACAGTCAAACATTTAGTAATTAGGCACCATGGCATTCTCACAGAGGCTTGAGTCCAGGATCACAGAATGACCCTTGAATGCAGTTTGTCATGTAATATTATTTTACTAATTATGAGATAATTATACTTAAAAATACTAGAAAAAAGGTTTTAAGTATGTTTTCTTGTTGTTCCGATGAAATAGGTTTGTGATGCTATATTTTAAGAAAACATTTCTCAAAAATGTTTAAGAAATAGGTAAATAATACTAATAATAAGGGCCAATCAGAAGTAAGAAAGAAACAAAAAATGTGATTTTATATGTATTTTTCATATGTAATTTCAAACATTTCATAATTAATTGTATATCTTCCATATTTTCTCAGCAGGTTCCTTCTCGTAAACCTTGTATCAATATTTAAAGATTGATATTTTGATAATTCAGTGCACTGAGGGGGCCTACAGTAACCCTGATTAACTATATATTTTCACTAAATAGACAATCAAACAAACATTATCATGTTATAACGGCTGCATACTTCATAACAAAGAGGGCGGGCGGCGCAGAGTGACTGAAGGCTTCTGGGTGGGGAATATTTGTGGAAGAAATATTGATGTAAAAGTCTCGTCATCTGGACTGAAATGGAGACAGTGAAAACAGAGTCCAGATGACTGAGACCTGGACAACGAGGGACTAGACTTTTATTATTGAAGAACATTGAAAAAAAATATGAATAGTGATGAAAGATTTTATAATTATAATGTACTTTCTGATTGGTAAAATGGTGGAGGGCGGAAATAAAAACAATAACAAGATTTAGGGGCTGTAAAAATAATTATGAAATCCAAATATCTCGGCGGAACTACAGTTAAACTTCAGTATTGGAAAAGATCATGTTTATTAACACAAGTATTTTACTTCGGCTTACTCCCTTTGAGCTGTGTCTACTTTTTCTTGAAATGTTTTCCTATTGGATTGTTTTTTGTTTTGTATGACCTGCTCAAATAAATTGATTGATTGATTGATTGATTGATTGATTGATTAATGCCTTTTGACAGATTAGGGCCATTTAATGATGACTTGACATGAAAATCTTTCATTTTGCTACTTTAACTATATAAAGTATATTGTATAGAACAGGGGTGCTCAATACGTCAATCGCGATCTACCAGTCGATCGCAAAGGTAGTATTGGTAGATCGCATTAAATAAATAAAAAATTACACATTCTAAACGAATATATACAAAAAGCTCCGGGCAAAGTGGAGATTTTTGAAAACTCCGTTAATGCATTTGTGTGTAGACAGAGATAACCGGAGTTTTACGTTCTCGCACGCCACAGTACCCCCCTAAATTCCTCTGATCACTGAAGCATGGATCATACTACCTTAAAAACTGTTTGCTGTGAGATGCTCGCAGCAGCGAACATCCTCGCTCCACATCAGAGAGCAGCAAAGTGATCGCAGGGACTCACGCTCGAAAACAACCAAACCAGGACTAAACCAGGACTAAACCAGAGCTGAGGACGGGGTCAGTGCTTGTAAACATACGTCTTTACTCTTTACTCTGAGTGTCTTCTATGACTGTAAAAGTGCCGTTACCGGCGTCTGCATCAGAACTCCGCCCACTTCCGTGTTTTTCCCCAACGCAGGACAGGACGTAAGAGACGCACATGTTTGGAATGTTACGAATGTGATTGATAACGCAGATGTGTGGATGCAAATTGTTTTATAAACGGAGGAGGGGAAATATTTGGATTTAAAAAAAATAGGCATGGCACATGGACATGGCACCACAGTCAAATGACATCTGTGTTTTACTCAGTAATGTTTTACTGACACTTAGGTGACTGCACATGCGCAAACAACCGCGCTCAGTGCAGGAAAGCTAAACCACGACAAACTTGTCAGCGAGTTACCACCAATTTTCCGGACTATGCATCCCTGGCCGATTCAATTCAGTGCAAGTCATAAGAGTAAACTCGGGTAATGACAAAAAATGTACATAGGTAATTGTGTTGTGTTGTGCTATATTGGCTCATGCGGTTTTGCATGTACATAAACATACATTGTAGATATAAAGAATATTTTTTGAAATATATGATTTGCATTTTTGTAGTAGGTAGATCATTTTGACTTGATCCTTTTATAAGTAGCTTGCATGCTGAAAAAGTGTGAGCACCCCTGGTATAGAAAGTCATACAAGAGCAAAAAGATCTTTCTAATCTCATCACATCATTTCCTTTTCCCATATTTTGACCAATCGGTTGATATTGGTAAATTCCCAACGGCGCACCAAACAAGATCTCAACCGTGTCCTGTGTAAAGGTGCAATTCCTTAAAAATCACAAATAAACCCAGCTCAAGGGCACAGTGTGAAAGTTGAAGATCCTCCTCAGTACCGTGTCTGTGGCGGCCGCAGATGGACTCTTGGGACTCTCGGGCGTCCGGTCGGTCGGAGGCAGCTGTTGGATGTAACTCTGCAGATCTGAGAGCTGCTGGAACAGACCCTGCTCCACGAGGGCCTTCCCCAGCTCCAGGTGGAAGGCAGCACTGGGCAGGATCAGCGGAGGATGGTTCTCAAAACTCTCCAAGATGTCGGCTACAAGAGACGACAGGAGCGGCATGTTAGACTGATGTTCAACTACCTGTGTGGAAGTTTTTTATTTCACAGTGTCACTTGTTTTCTGTTTTGTTTGTTTTATTTCTGTACTTGTCTTGTGCACACTGAGGACTTTTGTATTCCAATGTGGTTTTAGTGCAAATAGCAAATATATGAATCTGAATCTTTTTTAGTATAGCACAGTTCACCCAAAGAGGAACTCAAAGTGCTTAACAAAATAATATAAAACATTCAAAAGAGGCTTTAAAATCATAAATAATTGGATTGCTTTACCAAGAGCAACAATACAATACAGTGTACACAGATAAAAAGCTGTTTTAACCTAGATTTGAACATTGTCAGAGAAGACGCCTGTCTCACATTTTCAGGGAGACTGGAATCTGAAACGCTGCCTCCCCCATGGCTAGCCCTGACCCTGGGAAGCCACTCAGGAATGGTGACCTTTGTCTCTCCTCTTGATTACAAAACATATTTCTTTGACAATTAATACTTCACAAAACCTCCATCAATGAGTGGGAAGAATGTGTTTGTGTTACCATTGAAAACCATTCTCTAAAATATAGCAAAGCAAAGAAATCTATGGCTGGGAGTGTGAACCTCCAAACAGAGATGCGGACTGAGGAAGCAGTGCCCGGCCATAACCTCTAAAATCCCTAATCTGCTTTTTGTAATTACCCTTAAACGTAATTGTCTTTAAGTAAAAATTGAGACTTGGACAAAGCAACAAACTAGACATAGACTATTTACACCCAGTATTGATGTTTGAGTATGATGAATTTTTTATTTTTTTATTTTTTTTCAACAAGCCATTCACTCTTTAATGGACCATTTTCTATCCATCCACCTTCTTCCGCTTTATCCATTGCTGGGTTACAGGGGTAGCTGTTTAAGCAAAGATGCCTAGACTTCCCTCTCCATACGTCCTACATACAGTGCCTTGCGAAAGTATTTGGCCCCCTTGAACCTTTCAACATTTCGCCACATTTCAGGCTTCAAACATAAAGATATAAAAATTAAAAAAAATTGTCATGAATCAACAACAAGTGGGACACAATCGTGAAGTGGAATGAAATTTATTGGATAATTTAAACTTCTTTAACAAATAAAAAAATGAAAAGGTGGGCGTGCAATATTATTTGGCCCCTTTACTTTCAGTGCAGCAAACTCACTCCAGAAGTTCAGTGAGGATCTTTGAATGATCCAATGTTGTCCTAAATGACTGATGATGATAAATAGAATGCACCTGTGTGTAATCAAGTCTCCGTATAAATGCACCTGCTTTTTGATAGTCTCAAGGTTCTGTTTAAAGCGCAGAGAAAACCATGAAGACAAAGGAAATCACCAGGCAGGTCCGAGATACTGTTGTGGAGAAGTTTAAAGCCGGATTTGGATACAAAAAGATTTCCCAAGCTTTAAACATCTCAAGGAGCACTGTGCAAGCTATTATATTGAAATGGAAGGAGTATCAGACCACTGCAAATCTACCAAGACCCGGCCGTCCCTCCAAACTTTCATCTCAAACAAGGAGACGACTGATCAGAGATGCAGTCAAGAGGCCCATGATCACTCTGGATGAACTGCAGATAACTACAGCTGAGGTGGGAGAGTCTGTCCATAGGACAACAATCAGTCGTGCACTGCACAAATCTGGCCTTTATGGAAGAGTGGCAAGAAGAAAGCCATTTCTCAAAGATATCCATAAAAAGTCTCGTTCAAAGTTTGCCACAAGCCACCTGGGAGACACTCCAAACATGTGGAAGAAGGTGCTCTGGTCAGATGAAACCAAAATCGAACTTTTTGGCCACAATGCAAAACGATATGTTTTGGACTGCCACCTTAACGTGGTGGGGGAGTTTGAGTACTCGGATGATCCTGGGAGCTATGCTGTCTGGGGCTTCATGCCCCTGGTAGGGCCTCCCATGGCAGACAGGTCTCGGGTGACGAGTCAGACAAAGAGCAGTCCAGAAGACACCATGGACAGCACTCATACGAAACCAGTGACGTCGCCCGGCATGGCGCAGCCGGGGCCCCACCCTGGAGCCAGGCCTGGGGTCGGGGCTCGTAGGCGAGCGCCTGGTGGCCGGGCCTTAGCCCACGGGGCCCGGCCGGGCTCAGCCCGAATGGACGACGTGGGCAGTCCCTCCTGTGGGCCCACCACCTGCAGAGGGGTCCGTGGTGGCATGGTGCAGAGAGGACTGGGCAGCAGTCGAAGGCGGAGACCTCGACGACCCAGTCCGCACACACAACAGCTGGCTCTCGGGACGTGGAACGTCACCTCACTGGGGGGGAAGGAGCCCGAGCTTGTGGGGGAGGTTGAGCGATACCGACTAGAGATAGTCGGCCTCACCTCCACACACAGCTTGGGCTCTGGAACCCAACTCCTTGAGAGGGGTTGGACGCTCCACTTTTCTGGTGTTTCCCGCGGGGAGAGGCGGCGAGCTGGGGTGGCCATTCTCATTGCCCCCCATCTCAGCCGCCACGTGTTGGAGTTCTCCCCGGTGAATGAGAGGGTCGCGTCCCTCCGCCTCCGGGTGGGGGACAAGTCTCTCACTGTTGTGACGGCCTATGGGCCTAACAGCAGTGCAGAGTACCCGGCCTTCTTGGAGTCCTTGGGAGGGGTACTGGACGGTGCACCGCCCGGGGACTCCGTTATTCTCCTGGGGGACTTCAACGCCCATGTGGGAAACGCCAGTGACACTTGGAGAGGGGTGATCGGGAAGAGCGGCCCCCCTGATCTGAACCCGAGCGGTGTTCAGTTGTTGGACTTCTGTGCCAGTCACAGTTTGTCCATCACGAACACCATGTTCGAGCACAAGGGTGTCCACCAGTGCACGTGGCACCAGGACACCCTAGGCCGGAGGTCGATGATCGACTTTGTTGTCGTATCATCTGACCTTCGACCGCGTGTCTCGGACACTCGGGTAAAGAGAGGGGCGGAGCTGTCAACCGATCATCACCTGGTCGTGAGTTGGATCCGCTGGCAGGGGAAGAAGCCGGTCAGACCTGGCAGACCCAAGCGTATAGTGAGGGTCTGCTGGGAACGTCTCGCTGAGCCCCCTGTCAGACGGACTTTCAACTCACACCTCCGGGAGAGTTTCTCCCAGGTCCCGGTGGAGGAGGGGGACATGGAGTCCGAGTGGACCATGTTCTCTGCCTCAATCGCCGATGCGGCGGCCCGTAGCTGTGGTCGCAAGGTCTCTGGTGCTGGTCCCGGCGGCAACCCCCGAACCCGGTGGTGGACACCGGCAGTAAGGGAAGCTGTCAGGCTGAAGAAGGAGTCCTATCGAGCCATGATGGTTCGGGGGACTCCTGAGGCAGCTGTCCAGTACCGGCAGGCCAAGCGTGCCGCGGCCCGGGCTGTTGCAGAGGCAAAAACCCGGGACTGGGAGGAGTTCGGAGAGTCCATGGAGCATGACTATCGGTCGGCCTCAAAGAAATTCTGGCAAACCGTCCGGCGCCTCAGGAGGGGGAAGCAGTTCTTTGCCAACACCATGTACGGTGCGGGTGGAGAGCTGCTGACCTCAACGGGGGATATTGTCGGGCGGTGGAAGGAATACTTTGAGGTTCTCCTCAATCCCCCCGTCACGTCCTCTGTCTCAGAGGCAGAGGCTGAGGATGCTGGGGCGGATACATCCATCTCCCTGGCTGAGGTCACCAAGGTGGTTGGTAGCCTCCATGGTGGCAAGGCTCCGGGTGTGGATGAGATCCGCCCTGATTATCTAAAGTCTCTGGATGTTGTAGGACTGTCTTGGCTGACACGTCTCTGCAACATCGCGTGGCGATCGGGGGCGGTGCCAGTGGAGTGGCAGACCGGGGTGGTGGTCCCTCTCTATAAGAAGGGGGACCGGAGGGTGTGTTCCAATTATCGTGGGATCACACTCCTCAGCCTCCCCGGTAAGGTCTACTCCAAGGTACTGGAGAGGAGGCTACGGCCGATGGTCGAATCTCGGATCCAGGAGGAGCAGTGTGGTTTTCGTCCCGGTCGCGGAACACTGGACCAGCTCTATACTCTCCATCGGATACTCGAGGGTTCATGGGAGTTCGCCCAACCTGTCCACATGTGCTTTGTGGATTTGGAGAAGGCGTTCGACTGTGTTCCCCGGGGTGTCCTTTGGGGGGTTCTCCGGGAGTACGGGGTCGGGGGTCCTCTGCTGAGGGCCATCCGGTCCCTGTATGACCGGAGCCAGAGCTGTGTTCGCATTGCCGGCAGTAAGTCAGACCTGTTCCCGGTGAATGTTGGCCTCCGACAGGGCTGCCCTTTGTCACCGGTTCTGTTCACTGTATTTATGGACAGAATATCTAGGCGCAGCCAGGGGTCGGAGGGGGTCCGGTTCGGGGACCACAGGATTTCATCTCTGCTGTTTGCGGACGATGTTGTCCTGTTGGCTCCAACGAACCAGGACCTGCAGCATTCACTGGGACGGTTTGCAGCCGAGTGTGAAGCGGCTGGGATGAGAATCAGCACCTCCAAATCTGAGGCCATGGTGCTCGACCGGAAAAAGGTGCCCTGCCCTCTTCAGGTGGGTGGAGAGGTCCTTCCTCAAGTGGAGGAGTTCAAGTATCTCGGGGTCTTGTTCACGAGTGAGGGAAGAATGGAGCGTGAGATTGACAGGCGGATCGGTGCAGCGTGCGCAGTGATGCGGTCGCTGTATCGGACCGTTGTGGTAAAGAGGGAGCTGAGCCGAAAGGCAAAGCTCTCGATTTACCGGTCAATCTTCGTTCCCTCCCTCACCTATGGTCATGAGCTTTGGGTAATGACCGAAAGAACGAGATCGCGGATACAAGCGGTCGAAATGAGCTTCCTCCGCAGAGTGGCTGGGCGCTCCCTTAGAGATAGGGTGAGGAGCTCAGTCACACGGGAGGAGCTCGGAGTAGAGCCGCTGCTTCTCCACGTCGAGAGGAACCAGTTGAGGTGGCTCGGGCATCTGTTCCGGATGCCTCCTGGACGCCTCCCTGGGGAGGTGTTCCGGGCACGTCCCACCGGGAGGAGGCCCCGCGGAAGACCTAGGACACGCTGGAGGGACTATGTCTCTCAGCTGGCCTGGGAACGCCTTGGGGTCCCCCCGGACGAGCTGGAGGAAGTGTGTGTGGATAGGGAAGTCTGGGCGTCTCTGCTTAGACTGCTGCCCCCGCGACCCGGCAACGGATAAAGCGGAAGAAAATGGATGGATGGATGTTTGGCGTAAAAGCAACACAGCTCATCACCCTGAATACACCATCCCCACTGTCAAACATGGTGGTGGCAGCATCATGGTTTGGGCCTGCTTTTCTTCAGCAGGGACAGGGAAGATGGATAAAATTGATGGGAAGATGGATGGAGCCAAATACAGGACCATTCTGGAAGAAAACCTGTTGGAGTCTGCAAAAGACCTGAGACTGGGACGGAGATTTATCTTCCAACAGGACAATGATCCAAAACATAAAGCCAAATCTACAATGGAATGGTTCACAAATCGAGAATCTGTGGAAAGAGCTGAAGACCGCTGTTCACAAACGCTCTCCATCCAACCTCACTGAGCTCGAGCTGTTTTGCAAGGAAGAATGGGAAAGAATTCCAGTCTCTCGATGTGCAAAACTGATAGAGACATACCCCAAGCGACTTGCAGCTGTAATTGCAGCAAAAGGTGGCTTAGCGCAAGGGGGTCGAATAATATTGCACGCCCCACTTTTCAGTTTTTTATTTGTTAAAAAAGTTTAAATTATCCAATAAATTTCACTTCACGATTGTGTCCCACTTGTTGTTGATTCTTGAAAAAATACTTAATTTTTATATCTTTATGTTTGAAGCCTGAAATGTGGCGAAATGTTGAAAGGTTCAAGGGGGGCGAATACTTTCGCAAGGCACTGTATCATCTGGGACACAGACACAGTCCCACTGTGTCCTGGGTCTTTCCCCTGGTCTTCTACCTGAAGGACAACCTCAAGGAGACATCCAGAAAGCATCCCAAACAGACGCCCGAGCCACCTCAACTGGCTCCTCTGGGTGTGGAGGAGGAGCGTCTCTACTCTGAGCTCCTTCCGTGTGACTGGGTGTGGAGCTCAGTCACACATGTTAAAATGCATAATATTTTGTTATCCTTCAATTACTGTAGCAATGGCCATCATTTCTCATAATCAAAAAAAATCATAGCTTTAAGGTGATAGCAAAATATATTAAAAAATAATATCTGTTTTGCTCAATCCAAGCCCAGAATCAACATTTTCTTTCCTTCTCGACAATAGCCACTCACTGCTAGCTTGGATATCGGAGTGTAGGCTGTAAACAACTTTAATAGCTGTGAGGAAGTTCCCGATCAGGTCTGAACACGCTCGAGACATTGTTCAGCTTCGAGTTACGGCTTTTACAGTAAATAGAGCCGTGTTGTTCTTCCAGCAGCTGTCATCGTGACGGGATGCAAAAACGTCATCTAAAATTACAACCTGGGAGTTTTTAGACTTTGCAAAAGCAGCTGACATGTGTCTGCGTGAGTAAAGTGGGATTGAGGATCGGTTAAATGTGACGTTTATGGAGAAATTGGCTCATGTTCTGTGAATGGGAGGATTCAGATGCGTCGGTAAAGTTTATCCGACACACAAGGCGGATCCATAGCCTTGAGCAAAATATATGTCTACGTATATGTCTATATGTATACACATCACTTCCATTTTGATTTAAAGCTGATTTAGCAACTTCACTTTAATTCAATTCGATGTCCATAACGAGCAGATTTCATTTCATTAATTTCAAACCTGCAGGTGCATACAAACGGGAAAACAAAAATACTAAGTCTGCTTGGTATTTTTCTTTTACCAATGTCAATAAATGTTAAACTTCTGGTGTATTTCTTTATTTATTACAGCACATGTAGAGAACGGGGAGTGATCGATAAATACCAACTTTAATTATTGAAATTCCATCCATTCATCCATTTTCTTCCCCTTAATCCATTTCTGGGTCGGGGGGGTGGCCAGAGATGCCACCCAGTCCACAGAGCACCAGCCCCTCACTGATCCTCCTGCAGGTGGTGAGTCCACAGGAGCTGAGATCTTTCAGTGGGAGCTTCAGACAAAGTGGGGTTAAGTGTCTTGCCCAAGGACACAACGACAGCAGTCATCAGTGGGAGTCGTGAAGTAGGTCTTATGGAGGGCTTGAACCCACGACCTTCAGGCCCAAAGGCCAATGCTCTACCAACTGAGCTACTGTCGCCCCCTGTTATTGAAATTTTTAGTGTTAAATTGGGTCTCTTTGCATTGGTGTATGTTACCTAACAAGAATCAAACCTTTGTCATTCACATAAGCTCTCTTCCATTTTATAAATTTCTAAGGATATTTCCCACCATAGTGACAAAGTTGGTATGTCCAGATATAACAGTACTTAAATTGTATTTCATAAAATAGTATATTTATGACCTTGGCACACTGAACTATAATGGATAGATTTTCTGGAGGAGAATAGTTGACTAGGGGCCTAATTCCAACCAATCAGGAAGCTGCTGGGCTGAGCATGGGCGGGTCTAACCAGTGCTTTTCTTCAAAAAGTTATCAATTTATCAATACATTGTTCAATATGGAACAAGGATCTTCAGATGTTAGGGAGAGAAGAAGAAATTGCTGCAGTTAGTAACACAAAAAGTCGCAAAAAGTGGGAACCAATAGATTGAATTGAATTTTGAAATATATTTTAGTCATTCTTGGGGGCTCTAAGCTGACTTCTTAGCCCTTAGTCTACTTATTATGTAGGACCGGCCCTGATCAACACATACCGGAAAAACAACATATGATGGCAAAACCTATGGATGAGGGAAATATGTGTTTTTCTCAGATAGGGTTCTCATTAAAAATTGTCAAAGTCAACTTTATTTCTATCGCGCATTTAGGGCAACACCAGCTGCCCGTCGTGCTTCACACGCACCATAAGAAAGAGAAAAGAAACCAGCATCAAAGAAAAATTAACATTGAGCAAGTATCTGGCATTGATTTTTTCTAATAATAATACTAATACTAACGCTACCAATAATAATAAATTGAGCACAGCATGAAAGAATTACATCTTGAAATTCTTGAGAGTGAACGCAACCTTGAAATGAGTCACCAAATCTCAAGACCAGCATAAAAAACGGTCGTAAACAGAAGATGCAAGGATCAGAAGCACCTGGAAAAATAGGCGTGTTTATGAACAAACTTGTGTCCTCCTCCAACCCCCACAAGTTTCCAATATCTTTCTTGGGAACTCTGGTGACAATATTTAATAACATAAAGCAAGACGCAGGCCAGTGGAAAGGACTTTATCATAGAATAAAACTACGGCGGCTTTGAGAATCCAAACACTATTAAATAATTATCTGAGTAAACATTTGGACATTTCTTTGTCCTGATTTGTCCCAAAAGACAGTCACATTTGAAAGTTTACACCACCCAGTATTGATGATTATGAATGAAACACAAATTTCTCTACAACTTAAAAGAGATGAGAAATGCCTGTCATTGTCATCATATATACTTCTATAAGAGAGAGAAGACTACTGTTTGTATTTGTTTGCATTTCCAGCATTCTACGGCTTGATTCTCCGATTCTGTTTCAGGCGATTTGAAAACCTGTGTAAAGTAAGTAAGTAAGTAAGTAAGTCTTCTTTATTTATATGGCGCCTTTCACAGACCAGGGTCACGAGCGAGGCCGCCAAAAACTGAGGCGCATGTCAGATTTACATATTTTTAGTGGTAAGGGGAAACTGGAGCACCCAGAGGAAACCTTCGCAGACACAGGGAAAACATCTAAACTCAACACAGAAAATGTGTGTCCCTTCTGCCCCTTATGAACCTCTATGTCAGGGGTGTTTAAACCTTTTAGTAGAGGGCCACTTTCGTTCACCGCACAAGTCCAGGGGCCGACATCACGAACTGAAAAACTGTCTTGCCTGTCATCGAGCTGTTCTGAGCTTTAAAATGATGTATAATGGAGCTGAAGTTGGCTGAATGATGTTTACCATCTCATCAGCTATAGTGGCAATAAAATCAACGACTGAATTCCAGATGTACCGGGCTTTAGAACAAGGTCTATATTGACTGAAACCGTGAACTTGTGTTTATGATCTCAGAAATTGCTTTGGGTTAGCAGGGCAGAGGGCCATATATCATGACACTGAAGGTCGCAATTGGCCCCCGGGCCTGAGTTTGGACATGCCTGCTCTATGTGTTTTTTTCATTGCATATCTTGTGTTTGAACTGTTTGACTCTCTGATCTATGTTGGTGAATTCTATTTTTATGTAAAGTCCTCTAAGATAACTACTGTTGTGATTTAGGGCTTTACAAAAATCAAAATACATTGAATCGAACCCATCACCCCTCCCTGCTCCTCACCCGTCCGGTGCGCTGCCTCCCGGTCCTCCCCCGTGGGGCTCCAGCAGAGGGGGTAGGCCCGAGCGGAGCTGTACTCTCTGAGCATGTGGTGCAGCTGGGCCGGACTCAGGGCGGAGAACTCGGCCCTCAGAGTGGACCATGACGCCTGGGTGGAGATAAAACAACAGCGTGTTACTGCAGATCCAACGTGGCGCGGTCTGTCAGAAGCTTCTTACAACAGAACCACGTTAGAACAACACGGACAGCGGCTACAAAGACAGACACACTGTTCCCAGAGACCGAGGCCTGTGTCGTTGCAACTCTTTCTGTTGGAACCCGAGACCAAACCCGAGCCAGCATCACATACAAACTGACTCTATAATTTTCTTCTTAAACTATCTTTTATTATATGCAAGTAGCAATTATGACAGATAAAAACCTGCTCGTAACTTTAAAGTCAGGCAGTTGAAATAAGTGATAATATATTTATGAGAGCTATCAAAGGTGTTGTTGTGAGAGTTTACTTTTTTGTTTCGATTGTGTATTTTGAACGTGCACAACACAGCAGCTACACCGCCTCTGCTGCTGTGACTTTATTAATATTGTTAGTTACTTTTAGAATGATGTATTTATTTGTTTTGTTTGTGTGGTTGGACTTTTCTGCTGCTACTGGACCCCTGAGTTTCTCTTATGGGGATCAATAAAGTATCTGTCTACATATCGTCATATATCAATGTTGCAGGGGTTCGATGAATGAAGGCTGGTTTGACACACACACACACGCGCACTTGCACACACACAATACACAGCTATAACACCCAAAAACACACACACTTGCACACAGACACACACAATACACAGCTCAAAAACACATAACTATACACACAGTACATGTACAGTAATACCGTACATGACACCACCACAAATGGTTAGGGGCAGTGTGTTATTATACAGATTGATGATTGTGTAGAACTCTAATGCGTTCTCCACAATATCAATCTGGGACTTCTGCAGGAGAATCCTTTCGGGGAAAGGAGGGATAAGCAGCAGAATACTTCAAGCTGATTGGGCGAAGTGACGCTGTGTGTCCGCCTACCAAGTTTTGACTTAAACCAATCCCGGTAACATTATGTCGTCATCGGCGTGCGCCCTGAGAAACCACCATAAGTTGCGCTGGTCTAAACTATTTTATTTGGCTTATGACTGCTTTATGCGCCTCTCGCTGTTCATCTTTCAAAAAAGAAATGGGAGATTCTGCTAAAACTGACAGCTACGCGTCCGTTCTCCTGCGTAGCCATGTTTGTTTTGCTTCGGCCCGGCACTTCTTGCTTTCGTCAAACCCGGATATCCCGCCCTAAACCCCCAGACTGGCGCGTGATTGGCTTGAACACCTAGATGTTCTACTCGAAAAGGGTTGGCGGGAGCGGGGCAAGATGTATTCTCGAGTGTTTGTGAACTCACAAATACCGCAAGAATTCAGGTTAATTATACAGCAACAACTTACTTACTAACTAACATGAGAAGATTGGACAATTGACAATTAGACCAAAACACATTTTGGTCTCTGTGCACCCTTTTTGTGTGCCCTTTTAAAACCAGACCACTTCTTTCAGCAGGTACAGTCAGACCTTATGTAATATTTTTAGATTATGCTGTTTCAAGAACATATAGTTTTAAATTGTGCCACTGACAGGAGACATGTTTTATTTAAGTTAAAACAATAAGACCAAAGATTTTCAGAAAGTGATATTAAAACATGGATGAATCAGACGCTCCAATCAGCAGCTGCCACGGTGCCAGGAGTTTCGGCCTTCAGAAAACCAAAATATGAAGTGAAAAAAACACCAGCTCCTGCTTTTTTGTTGTTGCAGTTTTTGCAGATGATATCAGATCGGATTAGCCGCTCCCTGCTGCTTTATCATCTCGACATCCGTAAGTCTGTAACTCAACATTTGCTAAACACTTTTCTTATCAATGAATCTCTAATACGTCTGCGTGTGTTTGGCAACGCGGAAACAGGTGAGTCACGCCACAGGTCTATTTCTGGTGAATAAAAACAAAAAGATAAACACAGCTTTCATTCAGGATCCTAAGTGTTGAATTGGTGGAAGTCAGACATTGCCCAGACTCCCAGGGGCCACCGACAGAGACATCAATGTTGTGAAAGTCATGGCCTTAAATCTCAGTTTGCTGCAAATACTAAAAAAACAACTTAATGTCATATTTGTTATAATATAGCTGTGACATGACGTTTTCTTAGTATTTGATATGGTACATTACCGTTCTAATTCATTATAATTAAATAAATGACTTAGGTAATTTATCAAAAAGAATTCTGGTTGGGACGGCTGTGGATCGACTCAAGCACTAGAGATGACGATGACTTTAAGTCCCAACTGAAGATGCGTTTGTTTAGACAGGTTTTCTCGCCTCATCGTTCATAGGCCTCTGTGAACTGTGTAAATTGTGTTTTGTTTTTAAATCTGACTTGTATATGTATTTTATGTGTTTTAACATGTGAAGCGCTTTGTGATCCTGGTCTGTGAAATGCGCTATACAAATAAACTTCACTTACTTACTTCCTTATTATGTTTGCAATAGTCTGGATACAATTTAATTCAATTTATTCTTGTAATAGTCCTAAATCACAACAGTAGTTTTCTTGGAGGACTTTTCTAAACTGTCGAATTTCGCCAATACAGATCAGAGAATGAAACGGTTCAAATACAAGAATGCAATTATTTAAAACGTATAGATCCATTTTTCCCATCAGGGGTGGATGACCGACACCCATTAATGATGATGATGATAAAATCTATAAATGTTAGTGTTTTAAATCCTTTTCAGCACCAGGTTCTTAGTGTATTCAAAAAGGTCATCACTCCAGCAATTCCAGAAAATCAATATGAAACCACTTGATTCAAGCATTTATTACCTTATTTTTTGCAGTGCACCTCTTTCTTTTACTTCAATTTACTTCTTCCTCTCTATAATTATTTTATCTCTGAATACAAACTATAATACACAATGAATCTGAATCAAACAAGTCATGTCCAAAGAATTTTCCCTTGATTTCTAACTTGTTACGGGCGCACAACTAACATCCAACAGCTTCAACTCCCAAAAATAAAACAAACAAACAAAACAAGGCATTCCCATACACCCACACGGCACTAAAATAACAAAGTGTGATTCTTAGTTGTGCTCTGAAATCCAGATGGAAAAATCCTAAAATGTTCTGTGGGTGTGTTCCCTGTTAAAGCAGCCACAGAATGACCTCACAGCAGGAGCGGACAAGCACCTCCCCAAACCTGCAGCTGTGGAGGGAGTTCAGCAGCAACAACAGCAGCAGCAGCAGTAGGAAAAAAAGATAATATATGGAGGTGATAATAGCTTGAATCAAGTTTTGATTTTAATTTGAGTACATTCTGACCAGATTTTCCAACAGGACAAAGCCCATCCATCCATCCATTTTCTACCCTTTAATTCATTTCTGGGTCAGGGGGGTGGCAGTCAGAGATGCCACCCAAGTCTCATAGCACCAGCCCCTCACTGACCCTCTGCAGGTGGTGAGTCCACAGGAGGACGGCTGCTCTCTGAGTGTGAGCATGGCCTTCATCTTTCAGTGGGGGCTTTGGGCAAAGTGGGGTTAAGTGTCTTGCCCAAGGACACAACGACAGCAGTCATCAGTGGGAGTCGGTGGAGAAGGTGCAGAGGTGGGAATTGAACCCACGACCTTCTGGCCTTAAGGCCAATGCTCTACCAACTGAGCTACTGTCGCCCAGGACAAAGCCATTTAGTTTTATTTCAAGAGCTGTTGCTTTATTTTCTCATTCCAAGTTACACATTTCTTGTATCTTTTAAAAGGAAGACTATTTTGCTTTGTCCCATTGGCAAATCTTGTTTTAAGGCTCAGTCAGAAATGGCTCAAAAAAAGATATGTTTTTCACTTTTTGCAGTGTAGTAGTAGTAGTAGGTAATTGTTTCTAGAAGCTTTTTAGAAATATTAGCTAGGGATTTAAGTTAATTTAGCATGCTTTGTGTAGTTGTGTAATCTTAGTGATATCCGTCCCACAATGGGGAAAGCATTGCGTCACAAGTTACAGAACAGACGCACAACTCAAGATTAGTGAATACTAAAAATAGAAAGACTCTATAAAAAATCTCTATTGTGATCAAGTAAGTATCCATCCATCCATACATTCTCTTCCCCTTAATCCACTTCTGGGTGACGATTCTATAGTTTTGCGATATTTGGGCTACAATTCCATTATATTGTGATTTTTGACATATCGCGATACAGACAGTCCCAAAAAGCAGAAGCCTTAGACCAAGGATGTCAAAGTCAAAGACATCAGAGAGTAAGTAAGTTAATGTTTATTTATATAGCGCATTTTACAGACCAAGGTCACCCAAAGCGCTTTACGACGTTCAGAAATCAGATATTTTTGTCCGTTCACACAAGGGGATGACGGAAGCGAGACGCCGAACACACTGGACCATCAAAGCCTCCAATAAACACCATACATTCAGTTACTCATCACAGTCAGACCTACTGTACATGTTTTTAATGGTAGGAGAAACTGGAGCACCCGGAGGAAACCTAAGCAGTCACGGGGAGAACGCGTAAACTCCACTCAGAAAGGCCACGTTCTGACCGGGATTTGAACCCAGTAGTGTAAGTAATGTATCGTATGTATACATCTGTACGTTCATCAGTGCAGTACACTCTAGTAGTGCAAGAATATTAGGGCAGTCAGTCATTAACTTTGAGGATTCGAAAGTACTACTAATGTGTACAAAAGTGACGTGACATTTCCAGTATAGGCATGACGCAAAATGTCCACACAGCGGAAGTTTCAATTCTATAGTTCCAGAGAATTCCGGTGAGTTTGTTCATGTGAATAGGATAAGGATACAGTGTGTGTTCACAGGAGATTAGGAGGCAACCAGGCCCTTCAAGTAAAATACAGTGGGGCCAAGTAATTAGTCAGCCACCAATAGTGCAAAAGTGTTTCCATTTTAAATGTACTGTATTTAATAATGTACGGTAATCCTCAATAAGAGAGAAAATCTGAGTTTAATAATTGGATTATGGTGTAAAATAAGTATTTAGCCAATAATAAAAGTCTGTTTCAATACAATCTTACATATCCTTTGTTGGCC